CTGATAAAGAGAGATGAATATAATTTGACTCTAAACGAACTCTATCGATACAAATCAAAATAGGTTTTATCAGTTCAAATATATATCTTCTATCTATAAATAGGACCTTTTACAACTTCAATTATATTGAACATCCTCCTACTATCGAGTATTAACTTAACCATTGGAATCATCACTCAATCTTTTATTTTATTTGTGTTGGCTTGCTAATTAAAGGGTTTTACTTACAATTTATCCTAAGCAGAATCTTCAAACATTTCCTGATTTCTGTCGCATTGATTCATCAGTTAATCAAGCAGTAAGAGTAATTTTGTTCTTTTGACAAATGGGTGACTCGATTGGTCCGAGGTTGTACAGTTGCTACAAATGCAGGAACCATGTAGCACTACATGATGATATTATCTCGAAAGATTTTCAGGTGAATACTCTCATTTTTCGACACCATTTATAACTGACGATTTATTCTTGTAAGTCGTAAGTTTTCTTGTTTTGCTGATTTTGCCAGTCGAAAAGTGGAAGAGCCTATCTGTTTACGCATGTAAGGAATGTATTCGAAGGGCCAGAAGCTGACCAAGAACTGATCACAGGTCTGTACACTGTGTCCGACGTTCACTGCACGGATTGCCGGGAGGTTTTGGGATGGAAGTACGATAAGGCATTTGAGGAATCCCAGAAGTACAAAGAAGGCAAAGCTGTGCTTGAAAAGTTTAAGATTGTTAAAGAGAATTGGTAGCACCCATTGCTGCTGTTTCATTGCCAAAAATCCTGTTTGTTTGCGTTGTTCAGAGAAAATGTCATGAATTGAAACTTGGTTTCAGACTTTTAAAGAATTTTATTGACTTTTTTAAGTCGGTGAGTTAACTTTTAACATTTAAGTGATTTCTATGAATTTGATAAGAACTAATAAAGGGAAATTAGGCACAATATCATTCGAAAATAAAAATTAGAACAATAATCTTAAAACTAAGTAAAACTCGTAATCCCGTAATTAATACGGTTAAAAGCCCCCAAATTATCAAAACTCTAGAAGCCCCAAATCACCTGCTAGAGATAATAGTGATCTTACAGATGAAAAGTCAATCGAGGGTTCTCACACCGGATCAGATGTGGATTGCTCTTTCAATTTCACTTGTGAATTTGATTTTATAATCGATTCTTCCTTTCATCGTCTTGAAAGATTAGTCTGTAGGTCTAGCTTTTCTCATGCCTACAAATTTCCTTCTTTATTTTTTTTTTCCTTTTTTTGTTTTTTCATTCATTTATTCCAGTTCTTGAAAATTCAGCTTGGATTAATACCCTAATTTAACGCCTGACCATCCAATAAAGTACATGAACTTGCTTTTACTTTTCGATCATTTTCCGCTTTTTGGTTAGTTGATAAATGTGGAGTATTGTTTCCTTGAAACACAGTTACTAATTAGGAAAGCTGGGTGATTTATGCGCTTGGGGATTATATTTCCGTTGATTTTTTAGTGGATTCATGTAGGCTGAACTGCAAGGTACATTAATTCAGGATATTAGGTAAGATCTTCCTCATTGATGCATGCGTTTGTCATGTGTTAAATGAAACCAGATTTCTTTCTTATCCATTTCAGAGAATAATAAGTGAAAATACCACGTCATGACGATTGCTATGCTAACACAACACGTTTCTATGTTGGCCATTTATCTTCAAGGATCCCGATCTCATGGTCTGGAGGACATCTTTCGCAGATATGGGAGGTAATTAAGTTAGCACAGACTTACTTATTCGATAATTTATGTTTGGTGCTGAAGGAGGTTGCAACTGTAATTTACTACAAGTACTCAGTGTTGTTTATATGAGTTCTTGGTTTTTGATTTAGATGCAATTCTTTGCTATCATTTAGCCCTTGTCAAATTGGTTGTGGTCTCAATACTTGGATGGGCCTACATCAAGGTGTTGTTGGGAATTAAGTTCCACTATAACAACCTTTTTTCTGACATTAATAATTATGAGCTCTAGGTTCAAAATCAAAGAAAACCTCTCTTGTCTAAATGATTTTAACTTGACTGGTTTTTTGAAGGTCTTTGAAATTTTTAGCCAACAAAGATTTGCTGAAAGGTGTTATTGGTGGTTGATATTCATGCAGAGTTTCTGTAACTTCGACGATTCTTTTGATAGTGTTATTTTTTGCTTCTTATGAAAATATTGAATGTGTGCAAATTTAAAAGCTGAAACAGTGCTTCGTTTGAGGTAATTGAAAGAGCAGCTAAACTATTTTTAGAGGTCCAGTTATCAACAATTTTGTTAGTGTCATTTGCCAAAATTTTAACTTTGATCAAAATTTATTTCCATATTCTGAGATTGGTGTCAAAATGTCTCAATTTAGGAATGGTAATCAGGCTCGTCGACTCGGACCAAGTCCCATTTCAGGGAGTTGGCTTGAGCCGGACCGGCCGTGAAACAAAATTTAAAAA